TTGTAGGTGGGGGGGGGGGGGGGGGGCACGTGATCTGCCTTAGGTGTCAGGCCACTCAATAGACAGGTATATGCAAAAATATATACTCACCAGCGAGTCCACCTCCGGGTCGGCGATGTAGTAAGGCTTCTCTTGTCTGATCTGCAACAGAGAAACGGAAGGCAATTTAATGATTAAGTCTGGCATTGATAATTGTCATGGTATTAAAGGGCGCGTGTATAAACACGTAGAACGATGCCACCGGTGAGAGCGCATAAATGTATGTATACGCCCGAGAGAGAGAGAGAGAGAGAGAGAGAGAGAGAGAGAGAGAGAGAGAGGGAATGCGATCGTATCTGCGAGATTCCTTCTAAACAATTTCCTTCGCGTGCGCCCTTAATTGGAAAAGCGTCCCCTAGTGTCCCTCCCGCGCTGACCCATGAGTCTACTGTCCGCTTGTCTTTACCTTTATTATAACGCGTAATTCGTACGCGGAGGAAATTAGTTCGATATCGACAAAAGACTCGTTGCTCGCGCCCAGCTTGTGCGTATCCTCCTCCTCCTCCTCCTCCTGCCCCTCCACCATCAGATTGTATCAGTTGCGACCTTCGTTTTACCGAGTTTTCGCTCTAGAGACTGCGGGTGACTTAATCGCGTGATGGTCATTATGGAATAAGCGAATTTTCTGAGGTAATTTCAAGGAAACCTGAATAACGATCTTATTCTTAATTACAAAATTATTCCATTTGGTTTTTCGATGCCGTAAATTTTCAATCAAGGCTTCCAATTCATTGAAAGAGTTACGATTTTTTACTTATTTGTAGGAAATTTAGGATACACGCAACAGCTACGAACAAGTATTTTTATAACTATAACAAAACCACGTTACTTTTTGTTCTAATGAAATTTATAGCAAATAATATTTGAGACAGTAATGTAAAGCATTTAATAGCATTACCCAGTAACTTTGAAATAATCTACTCGTAAATAATGTTATCGTATAAAAAAAAATCATACCATCGTTTTGCCATAATACGATGTTTTATGATAATTTATGATAATTTAACGTATTGCCAAGTATGGAAAAATGACGTCTCCTACTTTCGACTATCGTCAATCAAACAACGTAAAATACGAAAAACGAATGAGAAAACATTCCTAAACATGCGGAAGTGTAACATAGCAAATAAGAAAACAAACAAAAAAAAACAGCTGGCTAAAATGAACGAAGAACCTAATCAAAATTATGACTACTCAAGAACATTTTATTTTCACGGCATAAGCATGCGCGCCCTCGGTCCGCGCGCGCACCGCTAATTAATTTCCGTCTCTCCCCTTATCCCTCGTGCACGTCACAGTTTATTTTTCCCGGCGTTAACTCCTCATAGTCCACCACGACCGCCGCCAATAGGCACACGCAAACACGGCACTGACTGTTAGCCGCGCAAAGGCAACCACCAATCCATGCGAAAAAATCGAACAAAACGGGAAAAATGGTCGACGCTGTTCTCCTTTCGGCCCGCAAATTCCGGCGACTTTCCGAAATGCCGCTGATCCGAGTGGAATTGTCACTCGGCGACGAGGAGTGAAAAGTAACTCATCGTTACGTAGAATTCGGAGGGCCCAGTTTCTCATGCCGGCAGCTGTCAGATCAAGAAGCGCGCGCGCCTGAGCCTTTATTCATGAGGCCGAATTCTGAATGGAAGTTCCTGTTCCCCCGTGCTGCCAGAGTAATAAAGGTGTCTCGGCCCTAACAAACAAACCGTCCGCCCGACTTCTCTCGCGCGGGTTGTCGCTAGTTTCTTGCCGGCCAGCCACGACGATTGCGCCCGTCGTCCCGCGTCATCCTGCTTTTTTCCTCCACTCTTGCCCGATCATAGCCATCGTTTCCTCTCTTTTTCAATTCGCCTGGATGCGGGATTACAATTCGTAAGAATCTCAGTGTCGCACAGCGCGCGTGCCTACCCTCTTCCCCCCGTCGCCGCTGTTTGCGCACCATTTTTTGCCTCGCCGACTCTTTGTCTCTGGCTTCATTCACTACTGGGAATACACGTCGTCCCCTTTTGTACACTGGACGTGAAACGAGAAAGGCGAGAAAAAATCGGCCGTTTTATGGGAAAGCGAACTTTTGCCCCTTGGCGTCCCCCGGCCACTTGATTGCGCGCGCTCGAGAACTCGACGCCATAAAGCTCCCGTTCCCCCACCCACCCCCCAACAAAGCCGCGACTACGAAAACACTCGAAATATCTACGGGCGTAGATTATTATCAAAGAGGGCGAGAGCTGACTGTGGAGTAAAGCCGCCTTGGTCGTGGTGAGAAATCGTCCGATTGGAGCGAAATTACCGCGGCTGCTCGCGATTACTCGACTATGGCCAACTGCGACGGCAGCGCTCGGCCAATAAAATTCGCCGGCCAAAAATACCACTGGCAAATCCCCAGCGCCGCCAGTACCGATGAAATTAAAAGCGCCTTGTAAAGCGCTTTAAAGCTTAGTGGCCGCGGTAAGCGCTCTGCAGGCCTGCATATGGACAGAAGGACACTTTCTCCGGGGGCGCAAGAGCAATAAAGCAATATCGCCGCCTTCGGCACCGACCCGATGTACTACTCGACCCGTCGTAAACCGTCGGTGACAGCTTGACTTTCCCCACGTGACCGCCTCCTCACAAAAGACGAGGCGGCGCACTTTGCTCTCGTGCAGTCGCGCCTCCTCGTTCGGGCTCATCCTCTACTCTATCACCGGGCCCAGGGCCCCGTCCTGACTCCGCTCCCGAGCCGCAAAGGTTATATTATACCTGCGCGAGGCCATTTACCCACGTATTACCCATCGAGGTTGCGATGGCAGGGGGCGGGTGGATGATGTATATAAAATCATGCCGCTGGAAGGACGATATCCAGTTTCGTGGGACATTTTCACCACAATGCTATTATACATTCTAAAATTAAGGTGGTTGCACGGGCGTACATGCGACGCATGCGTACACGCATTAGTTCTGCTATAAAACGTCGTTGAATAGATTATCGGAAATACTTGTGTGTTTATTTCCTTTTCCAGTCATTCGGGGGGCTTCCAAAAAATAAGAAATCCGATCGGAGAAACGGCCAAATATGCTTATGAATTCCATTGAATAATTCGTGCCCTACTACGAACGAATTGAACATGACAAATATCACATATGTTATTATAGCGAGAATTAGCGAATTCTACAGTTATCTGAAAAACGCTGGATGTTTACGTCTGGATCCCGTTCCGAAAATTTCGTTATATATGCCCTCGACCTAACCGTCGTTGCTACGCCACGTGCAACTTGTTTTTGTTTTAGAATTTCATTGCGCGTGCGTGTGTTGTGTATTGTGTTGTGTTGTGTTGTTGTTGTTGTTTTTTGTTTGTTTGTATGTTTGTTTGTGTGTGCATGTGTGTGTGTGTGTCTGTGTGTGTGTGTGTGTGTGTGTGTGTGTGTGTGTATATGTATGTCACTTTTTCCTCGAACAGCAGAGACGAGAATCACTCGGCCGAAACGGGCCGAGTATTTCATAGGATATCTAATACTTTCAATTACTTCCATCGTCGGCGACGCTTAATTAATCGAACGTTAATCCACGCTTCGTTAGTTGATTATAAGAATCATTATCGACGCGCTCGACAATTATTATTGCCAAACGACTCGGCCAAGGCATTGCGCGCTAATGTTACGTTGCTCCGCGGTTGTCTAAAACAATTTGCAAAGCGAGACAAGAGCGACGAGCTGTCACATTTGCCATTAGGGCAAGTCCGCAACAATCAGCGAATTAATACTTAAACATGGTATCGCAGTCACTGGAGATAAAACGGCAAACAATGGACCACCGACTCCCAGCCACATCAAACAACTGCAACGTATGAACCCTGACGTA